GAAAAGTGTTGCTATAGATTCCTAAGGCAACACATTAGGGTGTAATGCAACATTTTTGAAGTGTTGCCTTAAGCTATTTATAGTGTAGTGATACTACCAACCGAGTCTAATATTTTGGACAGAGACAATGGTCATAAGGTAACATAGTACCAACTGAGTCTAATACTTTGGACATGCAGCTCTCAGATAAGTTATATTCTGACTTTATGTTAAGAAATTTAGAAACTGCTGATAATTGGGAATGATCATAACAGTCAGAATATAAAGGCTGATCCGCACTTTTGAGCACTTCTTGAAATCTAGTGCCCAACACATCCACATCATAATATGATGAACTTGGTCCTTCGTTCACATTATTGTGTGCGTTGAACTCACTATCCGTGTGGGTATTGGGAAACGTAGGATCGGCCAAACCATAAACTCATAAAGCATTTTTTGCTCCCATACCATTTCTTCATAATTTTCCCATGCCTATTAGCCATCTCGTCGGGAACATATCTCGATGTTCCTACGTTTTGCGGCAACAGGTCTGGCTCAATTGGTTCTCCTTGAGAAATCCAGTTGTAATAGTTTTCAACAAAACCATGCGTATATAAATGCCAACAAACCTCCTCACCTTCAACAAATTTGTTATTTTCACACTCTGTACGTACAAGGACATCTTATTCTACTTCCATCCATATAGCGTGTTTGCCCTTCTGCGAATCTAATAAATTCGTTAACTCCATTTTCGAACACTTTTTTCAATCCTCTACCATTTTCCTTGTAGCGGTCATACATCCAACTTCTAGTTTGTCTATATATTGTGCCTGAATATTACAAAATATCTTAATGAATTTTTTTGACAGTATATCTTAACGAAATTAGTTTATTAAATTTACAAATTAATGTCTCACGTTTTAAAGCTAACACTGGAATTCAATCAATATAATTAAGACAAATAATACTAATAACAACTCGTAATATGGATATGATCAAATTAATTTAAAAATAGAATGGTCGAAATTTACATACCTTAAGTACAACGACGATACCAAGTAATATAAAGTAAGAAATCCAAATAGAAACCTCCAGATATCAAGTAATATTACTTCCAACTTCTATCCAGAATTCATCATACACAAAGATTAAAGAGATCATTTTGAGAGATGTAGTTTGTTTCACACACCAAACATGTATTTGTAGAATTAGTAGGCACAGATTTTGGGACGGAAATACACCAGCCAAAACGTGCCAACGGCCTTCATTGTCTCGGATATTGGCACGGAAATACATTTAGGCAGAATGTGGGACGGGCAAATTAACGGTTATATTTTGGCACACCTTTCGGGTCCGATATACGCCTGCCAGCATAACAGCTACATTTTGGCACACATATAAGGACGGAAATGGGGTCAGCTGAATATGATGCGGCGTTGGTGCGGATTTAGGCACGGAAATGGTTGGCATGGAATTTCGCCGCACCAACTTCATACAAAAAGCGCCCCACGTTGGGTCGGACAGAGTTCTCTGCCAACTTGTCTCGGAATTTGCGACGGATATAGTCGCAAGCCAATTTATTTGAAGTTTTTTCGGTCATGGCACAGAAGTAGGGTCGAAAAGTCCGAGACAAACGGAGTGGCACGGATAAATCCAAATCCGTGCCAGAGGCGGAATAAACCGACTATTTGGGCATTCCGCGTCCAAATCCGTGTCAAAATTGTCTGGGTATATTCCGTGCCTAAATCCGTGTCTACACCGAGTTTTTTTGGTAGTGTATTATAACTTAAATACTCTGAAAATGTATTGTGATAAAATTAAATCCAATATAAAGAATTGAATTTCCAATTCAATCTAAAATACATAGATTTTTTAACAATTATCAACATATGCATGGACCCATTGGGTTATACACTCATACCACCAGTGAGACATAACTCTACACGCACTCGTATCAAAGTATCAAAGTTTGGGTATTTCAACTTGCACGACTATGTTTATGTATCACGCCAAATCCACAAATCATACGGAGTATGACAAACTAGATATACTAAAATTCAACCACAATGAGGTTATATATCCAGGTTTAAAACACTTTGGGGCTTTCAATTATTTGGATACAATCAAGCTAGCTGGAATTTGGTTGAAATGAAAACATGATCTAATTAAAGAAATAAAATGATTCTAGCGCTCGATGTGAAATCAAAAATGTGCACATTTAATCACAAATGTGTATTTGAGCTGTATATTATTCTGATCACGAAGGTGCACAGTTAAACTTTTCATTATTTTAACTGTAATGAAAAAATAATAGTAATGATAAATTGCAATCTCGATATACTCCAGGCCTGTTCACGATTGAGCAACATGTGCCTAAATATGAGCCAATTATATTAGCCAAACCAGCAAAGGAAGGTATACATACGAAACAAAAAAAACAAGTGAAATAGAGTGTTATGGTAGTGATTAGAGTCTGGCATTTATAACCTTTAATTCAAAAGAACCATGAAATTATGTAAATTGTTGAACTGGTTCGATTTGGAGGTTCTGTCTAATTTGGCTCGAATTTCAAATCAGGCTGAAAACACGAAGTTGCTAAACCCATACACTATATAAGTATATATGGGTATTAGAATTCCAAGTTCCAACTATGGAGAATATGAGTTTAAATTAAAACGCGGGTGACAACTCCAACGCCCTTTTAAAAAATGGGGTACCATACCTACCATATATTTGATTGGACCGCATCACTTTATCATTTTTAATTTAGATTTAAATAATTCAACTGCAACATTCTCATTGGTTCATGTAGATAAAGGTATGGTACCATATGATGTGATCACGTGTAAATAAGGCTAATATCTTAAATGAAACTTAGAAGGCTAATATCTTAATCCAATAGAAGTATTTGAATACACCCATTTTGAGATGAATAAGTTAAAAGAAACGTGTATCTAGTTATAAAAAAACGTGTATTTAATGGATAAAAATTGTCATAAAGCACTTTGTTTTTGTTTAGGTAAAATCAAAATAGATTAATTTGAATTGGATGCAATTGAGAGTTATAAAAAAATGTTCATTTCTTTGGAAAATATAGATTGGAAACATAGTTTAAAAATAAGGCACACTCAATAAATTAGAATATACGTAGTACATTTTAAACCAATATAATTATAATCGACTAAATAAGTGATTTTTGTTAATGAAACTAAACAACAAAATCCTTTTATCCGGTGCATGACACGATACTAGTCTTATATATACTATCTCTGCCCCGAAAATGTTCGCCATATTAACTTTTGTTGGTCAATGATGGCGAACTTTGGTCAATGATTTTAATTATTATATTTGTATACAATCTTTTAATTTTTTTACTTTTATGAAAATATTTTAAATAAGGAACGTGTTGATATAATTTTCATATTCAAATTAATTAGTCAAAATTGATTGACATTGACCAAGAAAAGTCAATTTAGCGAACCTTTTCGGATGAAATACATATTTACGCCTCATATAATCATATGTACTACTTAATATTTAAGCATTCATAAGCACTCATAATATTTTTCTAGGATTAAATGTATTTTGAGGTATTTTATATATTTATTCCTATTTTCATAATTATTATTCATATACAAATATACTCCGTATTTCTTAATTCATTATTATACATTTATGTTATGTTGATATGTGTATATAAATGTTATGTTGAATATATATTTACGATTCGTAGGCTTATATGATAAGTGTATACCGAGTATTTTTATTTACCACTCCTATATATATTTGCATTGCATGGTGTGGAATTTGAGTACCGCATTGCATGCTTTGTCAAAAAAAATTATGCAGAATCCTTCTCCGTCTCCGGAAAGAGAAGAAATGCCGGAAAGCCAAGATTCTCTGGCGGCGGCGGAAGCCCTGGTTCTACTCCACGATCAACAGCCCATTCAAGTGACTCCGCCGCTACAACTAGCAGAAGTGGAAGGGGATGATGATGAATCTCCTGAGGCGGCGGCGGGTACAGAGGAAAGGGATGATTCAACACGCTCTTCTTCAACGGCTCTTCAACGGACTCCAAGAAGCCCATCTCCAGCGCTACAGGATTCATTGCCGGTCTCCGGTCGTAGAAGCCCTTCTGATTCAACAAAATCTTCTTCTCATTCTCTGTACAGCCCTACCACTAACTCCGACACCGACGGTGGCGATGATGATGAGTCTTCGGAGGCGGCTGGTACAGAGGAAACGGATGATTCAACACGCTCTTCTTTAAAGGCTCTTCCAAGAAGCCCATCTCCAGTGCTACAGGATTGCCGCCGGGATTCATCGCCGGTCGCCGGTCGTAGAAGCCCTTCTGATTCAACAAAGTCTTCTTCTCATTCTCTGTACAGCCCTACCTCTACCTCCGACACCGACGGCGATGATGATGAGTCCAGAAGCCGGCGACGGTCCCAGAGAATTGCCGATCAAAGCAGGCCAGGTGGACGGGGCGACTCAGGGGCAAAAGCCGAAAGCTCCAGCAGGGTGCTTAGGCCCAAAAAGAATGTAAATTGATTAGTGGCCCATTTTTTAGATTTTCTGTAGGCTTTTTCCGGGCTGTGTCCAAGAAGCCCACAAAAAGAGAAGTACGCAAAAAATAGTCTAAAAGTAATACGTACGTAGTATCAGTTTTCTCAAGTGGAAATATCCCGTTAAGTCTCAATGAACTCGTTGTATTTCTTTTATGTCACACGCTTTCTTTCTTTTCATATCTAAACATTTGTCTTTTCGTCTGACGCTTTGTTTTCAGTCTCTTAATTTAAGTGATTGTGGTTTTTTTTTAAGAAAAAAACACTTATTTTACCAAACACTATCAACTTCTACTTTCTCGATTTTCGTGTAGAATCTACTTTTTACATTTTCTATTACACAAAAAACACTTATTTTACCAAACATTACCAACTTTTACTACTAATAATTTTTTCCCAAAAAGTGCTTCTATTTAAGTACAAGCACTTGAAAACAAAGCCTAAATATTCACAAACTCAAGACATAAATTGAGAAATATCTGAGCGACCGATCAAAACTACCTGAAGGAGCTATTCGTGGTCTCTGCACCGATCGAGACGGAAAGCTCAACGTCGCCGATGAGAAGCTCAACCGCCTCAACATCACCGATCGGGACGGAAAGCTACAAGCCATCACCGCCGATGAGAAGCTCAACACACCGCCTCAACGCCGATGGGCAGCTCAGTGCATCGTTTAAACGCCGACGAGCAGCTCAACGCAACGTCGTTTGATTTCAATCGCCGCCTCTGTCCAAGTGCGTCAAGCCTGAGCCATTTGATCTTCAGCTCATGAGTTGGATTTTCTTCAGGTGAAAGTATATACTCCGTATTTTAGGTTTAGACTATTTTGTATTTTTCTTCTTGTGAACCAATTTACTTTCCCTAAAAATCAAAGAGACGATGTGTTTCATCGACATTAACAAATCAATGTGCGAGTTAACTAGATATATTAACTTGTTTCTTTAAAGTATAGTTTGATTTTTTAATTCTTCGTATGTGGACTGCTGTTTAGATCTCCTGCAGATTTCACATTTCTTTGACTTTCAGATTTGGATTGTAGTTCACAATTTCTTTGAAATTTCTGCCAACACATGATGCTTAGTTTACAATTTCTTTTATTATATCCAAAAGATTGCACCTTACCTATGATGTAGTGCAGAGTATATCTTAAATCTTAACTATACACTTTCACTCCATTTTAAATGCAATGTGATTAGCAATGACTAGCAGTCTACATTTCGGAATTGAATTTAGTTATCAAAGCCATCTCTTTCACTATTTGTTTACAGACCTCTCATTCAATTATCACGCAGGCAGTACTTGCTGTACTAAAATAAAATTTTACAATGTGGTCTGCCTCAAGAGAAAGCATAACAGAATGTAGTTGAATTGGTTTTGCCTGAAGACAGCTCATTGGGTGAGTAATGACATCGTCTTCCTCCATCCCCTGCATTTTCCCCTGCTTTACTTTGTCCTCTCATCTTTCAATGTCTCAAAATGATACTATGGAATCTGGATGATGGATCAAAAGTGTGGGGGAATGAGAATGAGAATTCAATGTGAGAATGAGAATTCAATGTTAACAGCTTGTTAGAATTTCAATCAGATTGATGATGATTGTAACCATGTTCTGTTTTAATACATTTTCAATGTATCATTTTTACTACTCACTTGGTCACGATTGGTTATCTTTATGGAAAACATAGGGGGTGCTTTGGGTGAGGGATATGGAATCCTTGGTCAAGCAGGAAGTAGCAAATTATGTTTATCACTTGGTAAGTTAGTGTATTAAACTATTTTGGTATTATCAAGAAAAGATGCATGAGAAAAAGTACTCATATTATTTCTACTCTTATATGTTTTATTTATTTGGCATGAACGGATGCTAAGACTTCTCAATACATTTCCTCACCAAAAACCTAGATTGCTTGAAAATTCTTTTTCATTAATTATGCTAAAGCTTTCCCAATTCATTGATTTTGGCAATAAAGTGAAGATTATCGAGGAAAGTGCAGATAAGATAATCAATTCTGAAAAACCGTGTGTAAGATGTATAAAAAGAAGTTATATGAAGGAAATCCAAATTACAAAATCGTTGGGATACTTTTATCATTTTATGTTGTTGCTAGTCATTGGTAATCACATTGCATTTAAAATGTAGCAGTATTGAATGTGAGAACTGTGTTGAATGTGACAACTGTGTTGCTGCTAGAGATGGCCTTGATTACTAAGATTCAACACTTTAAATGGAGTGAAAGACATGGGCTTGATTACTAACTGTTTTGTATTTTAAATGGCGTGACAGAGATGACCTTGCAATATGGAGTGAAGGAACTACTAGTCTACATATTTGCTACATTTGGGAACAAAAAAACAATATTATTTTTTGTTTCTTTTTGTTGTATTGAATGTGTTGGTTTTTGTTTCTTATTGTTGTTTTTTGTTGCACACTGTTTCTTTTTGTTGCATTGTGTTACACTGTTACTTATGTTTTGGTATACTGTTGTTCTTGATTTTTGTTATTTATTTTGATTTTTCTTTATCTTCGCTCTTTCTTTGAAGTGAAAAAAAATCATACTCCGTATATAGATTTATATTTAATCACTTAATATGATAAATTTTGATTTTAAATGTAAACTAATGACAAAAAACACAAGTAAACAATAAAAAAACAAAAAACTCATAGTTATCAACAAAATGAAACAAAGGAAACAATAGTCAACAAAAACAAACAACAAAATTATATTTGAAGTATTTAAAAAAAATTACTATTTAAACAATGAATTACAAGATTAATATTTTTACATTTTCTCAATTGTTTCAATGTTGAATTCTCTGTTAAAATTTAATTCTATTTACATTTTTATTTTTTTTGACTTTTTATAATTTTCATACTTTTTAATTTAATTACAATTTATGTTTTTTTTTAATTTTCCAAATTTTTATTTTATTTTATAGAATAAAATTTTTCATTTTATTTATTTTTTCAAATTAATATTGTAATTAATCAATGTTATATATATAATTAATTTTTAAATATATATATATATTTAATGAATTTATTTTTTTTCTTTCTATATAATGCAGTATCTAAAATAGTAATTGTTTCATAAAAGTTTCTAAATTACCTATGATAATTTTAAATATTTTGAAAACCATTTTTATAAATTTTGATTACTTTCTTAGTTTCCAAAAATTAGAGAGTTTAATATTACTTTTTCACATTTTAGAAAGTATTTTATTTTTTATGTTTTTTTTATTATTTATTTAGAAATTCATGTTATTTTTGTTAATTACTTTGTATAAAGAATTTTCGAGCAAAAAAAAATTGTATAAAGAGTTCAATAACTGATATTTTGATTTTTTGTACTTCGTTTTTCTACAAATTAAGGGATGTATGAAGTCTTCTAAAAAAGAAATTACAAAAAAAAGTATTTTATACAATTTTCTAAATGTTAAACCTTTACCATTTTTATTTTTCAGAATTGTATTTCCACATTTTCCATATGTTTCTTTACATTTTATGATTTATTTTTTAAATTTATATTACATTTTAAAATTGAAGTTGCAAGTTTTCAACTTCCATTTTTTATTATGCATTATTTGATTTCTTGATTAATTATTTTATTATTTTTTAATATATTTTATTTATAATACGTTAAATATATCTTCTAGTTATCTCAATCTGTTTTTTTGCATTTCACTAAGGATGTTTTTACTTGGATTGTAATTTGTTGGTCTGGTCTAGTCTGAACTGGTCTGGTCTGGTAAGGTCTGATTTCTTTGTATTTTATAACTATCCAATTCTGGTCTGGTCTGAACAGGTCTGGTCTGGACTGATCTGGTCTGGTCTGAGACAAATTACAGTCCAAGTAAAAACATCCTAAATATTTATATATATACTTTTCTATTTAAAAACATGAGTTGAATAAGTTTTGGAGTTCGTATAAATTTAACAAAGTGGGGTGTTATATTTTGCCAAAAAAAAAAGGGGAAAATAGAAACTAATAATCCAACCTTTTAGCGGTCTTCTTTTAATAATCACACCTTTTGATTATTCATGAATAATCTAACCGTTGCACCTCATCTTCATTCACTGGTCCCTGACTGGTTGATGACCTGCTATTCTAAGCTATTTTCTTATCTTTGCAAATCATTATACCATAAATCTCATCTTTCACAAAGATAATATTTTGGAAAGATAAGAAAATAACTTGGAATAGTAGGTCATTAACCGACCAGGGACCAATGAATGAAGATGAGGTGCAAAGGTCGGATTATTCATGAATAATCAAAAGGTGGGATTATTGAAAGAAGACCGCTAAAAGGTTGGATTACTAGTTTCCATTTTCCAAAAAAAAAAAATGAAGTGGGTGTTATAAAGTTTGTTTACTGCCAACGCACGCTTCCCTGAAATAAAGGTTCTAATAGGCCGGTGAGCTGGCCAGTGTTAAATTGCAAATTATATCGTGCAACCGGCACACCATGAGGATGGTGTGCCTGGTTGCAAAACGACAGAGTATTGAGGCCTGATTTCTTTATTTTTTATCCTTTTGTTTTTAAAAACTGGTAATAACTTTTTATTTTTGATCCGATTTTTATGAAATTTATATCAACATTTTTTATTTTTCATGATCTTTCAAATGAGACCAATATTGCTTATGTAATTTTAAGAAATTATCGAACTATTATATTAATGTGTATTGGATTATAAGGAAAACCAAACTAAATTTAATACAGAAAAATAATTGTGTAAATCACAATTTATCTTAAAATTTTGTATATAAAAAATTTATTGTATTAGGTATTTATACATGGGAGTTACATATTTTTATATGTGAAGTTACATATTTTTACACGTAAAGTTACATATTTCTACACGCGAGTTACATATATATACACACGAGTTGCATTTGACTTGCCTGAACGCGAGTTACATATATTTACACGTAAAGTTACATATTTTTACACATAAATTTACATATTTATACACGCGAGTTACATATTTATACTCACGAGTTGCATTTGACATGTCTGAACGCGAGTTACATATTTTTTTAAGTACAGTTACATATTTTTAGTAGAGTTACATATTTATACACACGAGTTGCATTTGGCCTGACTGGACGTGAGTTACATATTTCTACACGTAAAATTACATATTTTACATAGGTTAATATAATAGTTCGATAATATGTTAAAATTACATAGGCAATATTGATCTCATTTGAAAGATCATGAAAAATAAAAAATGTTGGTATAAATTTTATAAAAATCGGATCAAAAATAAAAAAGTTATTACCATTTTTTAAAAAAAGAGAAATGAAAAATAAAGATTCGGTGCTTGCCAAATACGCTGCTTGCCAAAAACCGTATGACGGTATACGGTGCTCACCGTATACCGGTCATACGGTATAACAACTGGTGTTAAATACGTAGTCTATTTTTGAAAATGATTTTAAAGGGTGACAAAAGTGATATTACTTTCACTTTTAGCTTATTTATGAAAAATTCTCTTTTTTCAATTTTAATAGTTCTTTGCAAAAATAGACTAAGCACACTTTGGTTTTCAAAAATAGACCATACCTTAAAAAGTTCTTGGAATCCATGCTTCAAAGAAGCGTGTGTGGACAACAGGCTTGCTCTATGCAGCATCTTTGTTAGATTTGTAGAAACTCCAAGAATTACTCAATTCATATTTTCAAAACAGAAAAAAATTACTAGTACTTGAATGTAAAAATCGTGAACATGATTAGAAAATAATAAAATTGAACAAAAATTAATAATATAATATTAGAAAATAATGAAACAATCAAAACTAATATTAAAATCAAATAATGCATAGTAAATCAAAGACGAAAACTTGCAAGTTAAATTTAAAAACGGAATTTAAATTTGTCAAAAAAATCAGAAAAATGTTAATTAATATATATAAAATCTGGAAAACAAAAATCAAAACTAAAAATGAAAAACGTTTAAAATAGTATATAAAGTCGAAAAGTTGTAGAAAAATAACATTTTTGTAAGGTTAATTTCCTAGAAGATATCATATGCCCCAAAATTGGTATAAAAAGTACTCTCTCCGTCCCGCAATTAAGTTCACACTTTGATTTTACATAGATTAAGAAAATAAATTTGACTTTACTATGAAGTACATTGTTTAACACTGTTTGGACACTGTGTGATTCTGTTAGCACTATTTTGATGTAGATAATTTTTCAAATAAGGAAAGTATTGAAGTGTGAAGTTAATTTCGGGACTGCCCAAAAATGAAAGTGAGAAGTTGTTTACAAAACAAAGGGAGTACATACAAAACAATCAAAAATATAAATAATTGAAATATTTATAAAATTAATAAAAAACAAAAATGAAAATATATACTCCTTCCATATTTTAATGTTCACTACATTCGTTGAACACATTATTTAAGGAGTAAATTAGTAGGGATAATGAATAGTGTAGAAAAAGTAGAAGAGAGTGTAAAAGTATGTAAAGGGTATTTAATACTAGTATTTTATAAAGGGTAAATTTACCAAAAATGTAAGTATAAGGAACTTTTAAGTACTATACGGAGAGTTAAAAAAAACTTTTTTAGAGAAGTGAAAAATAAAATTAAACTCTAAAATATCAAGAATCTTAACAAATAAAAAAAAGGGGTTAGGTCATCAATATTACTAATTAATTTTTTTTTTTGACAAAATATATTACTAATTAATAAGATTTGGACAAATATGGGTCTTCTGTCTGTGTTTCACAAAAAAAGAGACTATCGGTGTGATGAATTCGGATTTTTGGGATGGAATTATCCAATATGCCCCTGCCCTTGTTAATTAATATGCCCACGCATCATTCTTCGTGGCCGTTTTTTCCGCCTAAAATACTACCATGCAGGACACAAAAATATTACTTGTATATCCTCCCCACAAAAATAGGAAAAATTGACATTTGACAAGAATAATTCCACCTTTCACTGGTCCTCTCATAATTATCTCACCTTTAAATAATCCGAAAATAATCACACCTTTGCACCTCATCTTCTTTCATTGGACCCCGACCAAGTTTTTTACCTTTTTTAAAAATCTTATATAAATAATCTCACATTTATAAGGATATAATTAAAAAGTGAAAAGTGAGATTATTTGTATAATTTTCAAACAAAGAGTAAAAAACATGGTCAGGGTCCAATGAAAGAAGATGAGGTGCAAAGGTGAGATTATTTTGGGATTATTTAAATGTGAGATTATTATGAGAAGACCAGTGAAAGGTGAGATTATTCTTGTCCATTTTTCCCAAAAAAATATTACTTCTATAGGCCACAAAATTTACTAATACAAAAATATTCCTTGTATATCCTCCCCCAAAGAGTTGCAATATTTTTTCTTTTAAAAACTAACAATTGATAAAAACTTACAATAACATTTTTCAACTAAAAAATGGAGAGAGCTTATCAATTTGAGAAAACATGCTTTTACAATAATTTTTTACAAACTCATAAGCGAGAGTTCTTCTCGGGCAGAATAAGGCAGCCGTCTCCTAGGGTTTTCCTAGGCTAATTTTCCGGCGACGT